TATTATATTACCCTAATGGAGAAACATTGTTTTTTTTTTCCTTTTAGGGCAGAAACCAGACTCAATCTTTCTTAATAGCCCCTGGCAGATATTTTGTACCCATTAAGAAAGATTGGGCCAGTCTATTCAGCCCCAATTTCCCTGCCCCAAGCAGAAACTAAGGAAGCCAGCTTTTGGAAATGAAGATTCAATAATCCATTAAGAAGGACTTGGTCAAGACAGAAACTCAGATAAGCAACAAACAAAAGGTTGGCAAAATTAGCTCAGACAAACACCTAGCATTGACATTTCCTCTTTTGTCTATAGAGCCAGCTATGACCCCTACATAACCCCTACATGACCCCATAGTAATCTAACAACAGCCAATAGAATACATGTTCTTACACAGGAATAGAATGTTCAAGTGCAAAGGCCAAAATAAGGTATAACCCACCTCCTACTCTCAACTCCTTTGGGACATGGTGGCTCAGTGGCTAAGACTCTGAGCTTGTCGATCAGAAAGGTTGGCAGTTCAGCGGTTCAAATCCCTAGTGCCGTGTAATGGAGTGAGCTCCCGTTACTTGTCCCAGCTTCTGCCAACCTAGCAGTTCAAAAGCACGTAAAACATGCAAGTAGAAAAATAGGGACCACTTTTGGTGGGAAGGTAACAGCGTTCCGTGCGCCTTTGCTGTTTAGTCATGACATGATCACGGAGATGTCTTCAGACAGATGGGAATGACCAGCACATATGTGCGAGCAGAACCTTTACCTAACTCTCAACTCCATTTTGTCAGCTGCCCAGAATCACAAACCCATGTGGCTCTGCTTCATCTATAAACCATCTTTATAATCAGCCTCCATGTTTCCAGTCTCTTTCTCCCATCTTGGAACTGAACCAGATGGATATTTCTTCCCACAATGCAATATAATTGTTCTTAATAGTCCAATGTATGATAATCCCTGGACTGGATACTTTTATATCAGACATTGAGAGATTGTAGCAAGTCTCAATGGGACTCAGTCCCTGTTTTCATGTGAGAAAATACACCACACTCCCACATCTTTCTGTTTCCTTAGCTTTGAGAAAATGGGATACACTGGTATCCCCCATGCATGAGAGAAGGTGGAGGAAGTACACCCTAGTTTAAGATCTAATAAAGCTTCTTTGAAATATGGGATCTTGGAACTGGAGCATCTTACTCCATTGGTTGATTTCAGTGGTGGGATGCTGCCGATTTAACAACTAATTCGGTGAGTATGTGCTTTGTGTGCGCACGCACTTAAAGCACTTGCACACAGTGCTGAAAGTGGAGCATTTAGAAGCTCAGCTGCTTACTTTCAAAGTCAGCAACGGTAAGTAAAACAGCGAGGGGGGAGAATCAGCTGTGCTGCCAGCTGATCGTCAGCGCTACCGGTTCACCTGAACCGTCCGATCCGGCTGAATATCACCTGATTGATTTGTACTCTCATCTAAAAGAGTCCTGTGTCATAGCTGGAAACATTTAATAGACCATTAGTTCCCCTAAAGTATTTTCTATTTCATCTCAGGAGCCACAGTTAACCACAGGCACAGTCCAACTGATACTCACCTGTATCTCTGGTAATCTCCCTCATCCTTGTCTTTGCAGACCAGCTCGTTTGGACAGGCTGAATTTCCCAGCAAACTAAGGAACTCCAGGGAAGGTGCAACTTCAGCCAAGTGATCCAGCAAGCCCTCCAGCTCTGTTATGTATCCAAGGGTGTGGGTTAAGGATTCCATGACGTTAAACAACAGGGAAAGTTTTAATCAACATTGTGCACATCTCCCACCCCTGTCCTCCAGCATGGTCCCAGGACATGGATTAAGGATTCGAATGCCACTGTGATGAGAGAGTGGCACATAATTTTAATAAATCTATATTTATAAAAATGACTCTCTCTCTCTCTCTCTCTCTCTCTCTCTC